AGATGCTTTTACTCACAGTATATGGTGCAATAGTATCAAGGCCTGGAAGAGCCTCCTTCTTCACTTCCTTTTAGGACCCTTTTGCTTATATGGATAAGCAAGCACCTCAATACTCATTTAGGCATTTAACCAAACACTTAGTGTGCATGACTTAAATGCTTAATATTTTTATTTCTTTTTGTATTTAAACTCTCGAAAAATCCTGTATATTCTCCAACACTCACTTAGCAATCTTATAATCCTAACCTATCCAACTACTCAACAATTAATATCATTAAAAATTCATCAAATATTGCACTAATAATAAATATTTCTTAAGTTCCTTAAACTTCCATAACCATAGAAGTATGGAAATCCCAATTTAATCATAACTCCTTGCAAACCAACACTTAATAATATTATTAGAATGCTTAATTAACTAATTAAAATTGTTAATCGAAATTGAGTGATCATTTCCATGGTCATTTCATGTTCGCCGGACCTTCACCTTAGCCTCAGATTTTATTTTCTCTTAGAAATGATCATTTCTATGATCATTTCGAATTGACAAAATCTCCATCCTTAACCTCAGATATGATCTTCTCTTCAAAATGATCATTTCTGCGATCATTTCAAATTGACAGAACCTCCATCCTCAACCTTGAGTAAGATTTTCCTAATTCAACCAAATTTAACGCTTAATTCATATGTTATTCACTCAATAGCAACTAATTAACAACTTAATCATGTTTATATCACTTGTTAACATGAAAATCAATCTCCTCTTCAGTTTCTCTACTTTGAAACCCTAACCCAAACTCCATCAAATCAAACAAATAATACAAACTAAGTAGAAATTAGTTTACCTTAGGTGATTTCCAACAAAAACCCTTTAGAAATCATGTTGAATCCTTAAGCTTTCAAGTTCTTCTTCTTTTTGTCCTTCTTCTTCTTCTCTTCTAGCGTCAACCTCTCTCTCCCTTTTTCCTCTTTCTTTTTTTTTTTTTTCCTTTCCGTTTGTTAAGTAGTAGCTTCTTATAAGCTTCCAAGTCATGTGCAAGTCACATGACTTGTTTGATGGGAGCGGGTATAAAGCGGAAACAACCCTTAACGAAACCATATGAGGCAAACTAAAAACATTATCGAACAAATCAATAAACTGACCTTTTGAAGCCAAGTCATGTGCAAGTCACATGATTGTTTGATGGAGCGGGCTATAAAAGCGGGTATAAAGCGGAAACAACCCTTATCGAAACCATATGAGGCAAACTAAAAACATTATCGAACAAATCAATAAACTGACCTCTTGAAGCACAAAATCGCTCACCGGTCTTCTTTCCAGATATCTTGGAGTCACCCACGATCTTCTGCAGTAATCCCTAACTATCTCTGTTTTGGAACTCTCTGAGTGGCAGAGAATAGAATAACGTGCGTATCTCTTTATTCTTAGCGTTTTGCAATCTTATATTAAAAAACCTCTCTTCGATAGGAAGATATTTTTTTAATATAAAATAAATTAAATAAAAAATTATTTAATTAAATCAATTATTTTAAAACTGAATAATTTATCTATTATTTAATACACCCTTAACTTTCCAAATAATTAGGGCACTACAGGGACCTCAGGAATAAAATAAATCAGGCTACTAATTATAATAATAACCTATGTAGACCAACATATTCTTATTATAATTAATCATGAATTATTCCACTTATAAATTATTCCATTGAAAATTCACAATTGAACTCTTTATTGATTTAACTTTCCATAATATAATAATTTATATTCCTCATGTAAAGATTACAGATGCTTGTCAAATAAAATAAATCACTGACAATTTATTGAAATAATAAAATCTTTAAGATTGTTGCTCAACTTATTTCATGTGTCGGATTAAAAATCCACCTGCAGGGTTTAAACAATGAAACCTTATAAGCTTACTTAAAGTGCATCACTATTTTCTAAACCGAGATATGGATTCTATCATTAATTTTTATTTCGCAAATACAAATTGCATTTGCCCAATTCACCAAGAATTATTGTCCCGATAAATGAAACTCACTCTTTAATGAACTAAAGCACAAAGCAATGTATATTTGCTCATATTAATTAAATTAATATTAAGAACATAAATCTTATTTCTAATGTCCTAGAGAATATATTTTAATAGTCAGTATAAATAAACATCCATCTCTACTTGGTCAATTAAATACATACAAAATGTACTAATCACAATTATTGTTCGATATGCTAATAACATTTATTTAATGCAAATTTATTTCCAATTAAATACAAAGAAATAATCGTCAATAGAAAATCATTCATAGCTATACTATTACATATGCATGGTTAATAGTATATCTCTATCAATTTCCCACTTAGACTCATAACCATGCATCAATAACTTTAACTCCCATTCCTTCTACATGACTGTTAAAAGCCTTTGCTGGTAAGCTTTTTGTAAAAGGATCTGCCAGGTTGTTTTCCGATGCAATCTTTGTCACTACCACATCTCCCCTTTGAACCATGTCTCGTATCAAATGATACTTCCTCTCAATGTGTTTTGCCCTTTTATGGCTCCGTGGCTCCTTGTGGCTCCTTCGAGTTTGCAACTGCCCCCACTAATTATCACAATAAAGTGTAATAGGCAATTGCACTGAAGAGCAATTGCACTGAAGAAACTACGCCTAGATCCATAAGGAAGTTCCTAAGCCATACAGCTTCCTTTGCAGCTTCAGAAGCTGCCACATATTCAACTTCCATGGTGGAGTCAGCAACACAAGTTTGCTTAATACTCCTCCAACTTATGGCTCCACCTCCCAAGACAAAAGCATTACCAGAGGTTGACTTCCGAGAGTCCTTATCAGTCTGAAAATCCGAATCTGTATACCCAATGGGTACAAGATCGTCAGATTGATAAACTAACCTATAATCCCTAGTCCTTTTCAAGTACTTGATAATATGCTTGACTGCAGTCCAGTGTTCTCGCCCAGGATTAGATTGAAATCTGCTAACCATGCCAACAGCAAAACAGATATCAGGTCTGGTCTTGGTACACAAACATTGCATAACATAGTGGCTTGTCCAAACTGCCAAGAAAGCATATATATGAACTGCCTTTCATGTTCTTTATCTCCTCAGGGTGTCTTTTAGGACATTGGTCCTTATTGGTCCTTAGATAGAGTGATTCCATGTCTGAAGGGAAGAAAACCCTTCTTGGAATCCTGCATGCTGAAACGAGCAAGAATGGTATCAATAAAAAGTGCTTGAGATAAGCCAATCATCCTTTTCTTGCGATCTCGCATAAGCTTAATCCTAAGAATATGAGCAGCCTCTCCCAAATCCTTCATATCAAAACGTTGGGACAGCCAATCTTTGACAGAATTCAACATACCTACACAATTCCCTATAAGCAGAATATCATCCACATATAGTACCAAAAAACAACCTTACTACCATTCCATTTCTAATACACACAAGACTCATCATGACACTGATCAAAGCCAAAACTTTTAATCGCTTGGTCAAAACAAGTATTCCATGACCTAGATGCTTGTTTAAGCCCATAAATGGACCTATTCAATTTGCAAAGCAAATTTTCTTGTCCATTGTTCAACATTGTCCATATATGGCTCATTATTATGAGCATTCATTCAAGGACTCATTTAGGAAAGTGTCTGACATCCAATTTGCCAATCTCATAATCATAATGAGCCTGCAATGGCATATATATATATATTATATCTCTCTTAGCTATGGCTCCGCGCCGAAAATTCTTATTATATCGATCCCTTCTTTTTCTGAGTAACCCTTTCGCAACAGCTCACTGTTTGATTAAGTTTGCACTTTACCGTCTTATACCCCTCTTTTTCTTATAGTCCACTTGCACTCCCGATGGGTTTAACCCCTTCAGGTGTTCTACAAGTGGTTCCTCAGGAATTGATTAGAGTACATGGACTTCCCATCTCAGATTTATAGACTACAGCCACTTATCACATCTTTATTCTGTAGTGCTTTCATCGTCCAACAGACAGGTTCAATGGAGTCACTTCTTCAGGGATTCTAATCAAAAGCTTCTCCCAAAGATCTGTATTTATCGAACCGGTAGTGTATATCGAACCGGTGGTCGTCTAATTCTCCCACTACGACGAAGTACTACAGGATCTGCAATCACACCTTCATCTTGCTGTGGCTGTAAAGCCGGTAAGTCCATGACTGGTGGGACTACATCTTGATCATGTTCTGGAACTTCAACATGTCTGTCATCACCAGGAGGCAATGAAATGTTAGAAGCCCCAGCATTGTGCTCCTGTATATTTGGATCAACAGCTGCCACTTCAGTTTCTACATAACTCCCACTACTGTTAGGTGGTAGTGAAAAGCTAGGTATTGAATATTCAGGTTGATGTTGATTTACTGGTCGACTAACATTTCTTCCACTACGACTAGGCAATGGAATGTCAGCTCCAACCATTGATGGTTTAGGTTGTTGTTCTAATAATGAAAGGTTCTAGTTGTATATTTTCTCCTCTCAATTCATAAAAGACTAATCGACTTTGGGAATATGGTTTTAATATAGTTCTTCCTCAAGATAAGGTGCATTGGTGCTAACACATGGGACCGTTTATCTTGGAGAAATATAAAATAAACCAACCTTCGTTCCTCTTAGGATATTCCAATAAAGAAGCATAAGTCTGTTTTTTGATTCCCACTTATCTGCTTTCCTTTCAGCACGAGGGCTGACCAACCCCACATCCAAACATTCTTAGACTTGGCTGTTCGCCCGAAGTCCACAGTGCTGTAGCCCAGTCCACAGTTCTGTAGGAGTTTTAGGTACTGACTTAGATGGAACCAAATTCAGAATATATGTTGTTGTTTCTATGGCATACCCCCAAAACGAAATGGGCAAATCTGAATAACTCATCATTGATCTAACCATATCCATAAGCGTCCTATTTCTTCTTTCTGCTACACCATTATGTTGTAGCATACCAGGTGTAGACAACTGTGAAGTAATTCCTTATTCTGATAAATAAGTAATGAATTCTCTAGAGAGGTATTCGCCACCACGGTCAGACCGTAACGACTTGATATATTTTCCATGTCGTTTCTCCATTTCTGCCTTGAACTCTTTGAATTTCTCAAAAGCATTTAGACTTACGGCGCAACAGGTAAATGTATCCATATTTTGAGAAATCATCTGTGAAAGTCACAAAATACTCAAAACCACTCCTAGCTTGGACACTCATTGGACCACACAAATCAGAATGAATTAATTCAAGTACATCATTAGTTCTATTACCCTTTATAGGAAAGGCCTCTTAGTCATTTTACCTTCTAAACAAGATTCACAGGTTGGTAGTGCCTCCACTTTCAATGAACTCAATGGTCCATCCTTGACCAACCTAGAAATCCTACCTATCTAAATTAGATATGACCAAGCCTTAAATGCCACAAAGTAGGTATGACTAAATTCAAGTAGGACGTTTTCTTTCAATGGAAACAATGACATCAAAGTTATTTACACTTCAGAATTAGGAATTTGCAGTTCGGTGCAAACTTGAGAAAATAAAGAGATTCATCCATCATTGAGCCAGAACATGATCATTTGTTTTTCTAAATTTAATAACGACAGAATCATCATCATCATAAAATTCATTAAAACAAACCGAATATCCATTCTTGCTCAAACTAGAAACTGAAATTAAATTCCTTCTAATTGAAGGTACATATAAAACATCCTTCAAAAACAAAGTTCTATTATTCTCAAAATTCAAAGAAACATTTCCTATAGCTAGAACTGCAACTTTTGTGCCATCTCCCAGAAAAATGCTTACATCTCCTTTATTTAGCTGACGAGTTACCTGAAACCCCTGTAATGAATTGCAGACATGATTAGTGGCTCCAGAATCTACACACCATTGGAGTGTAGTCAACACCGCTAAACAAGTTTCAACTATCAGCATATAAAACAGAGGCATACCTTGCTTCATCTTGGCTAACCATGTTGGACATTGTGACTAAATTGTGACTTCCAGTGCCTAGGTTGCTTGCAATGAAAACACTTACCCTTAGGCTTTTTCACAGCAACACTTACACTAGTAGATGCAGCACTTGTTTTAGGCTTAGCCTTGTGAGCATTTTTCTTCTTCTTACCCTTGTTCTGGGCAGAAGAAGAACCTCGCTCATCAACATTAAGCCACAAAACAGTGCAAGCGCCTCCTTGTTAATGATAGTCCAGCAAGCCACCAGCTCATTTCAGCAACTTAGATAGGTTTGAAAGATCGATCTATTCATTTTATAGTTCACAAACGAAACTGCTGAAAACTGGCTGGCAAAGTGTTCAAGATCATTTCTATCTGTGTAGCATTGTCAACCTCAGCACCAAGAACCTCCATGTTATTCAGAAGACTCATCATCTTCAAGACATGAGTTCTAACTGGGGTCCCCTCCTCCATTTTGGAAGTAAGAATCTCCCTCAGTGCGTTTTGCCTTGCTGCACTAGTTTGATCTCCAAACATCTCCTTGAGATTTTCGAGCATGTCAAAAGCTGTGTCCATCGTCTGATGCTGATGTTGCAAAACATTTGGCACAGAAGCCAAAATGTAACATCGCGCCATCTCATCAGCTTTAACCCATTTCTGGTAAGCTCTGGTGACCTCCTCAGAGGCACCCTCACCGGGTTTTTCACCGAGTTTTTCAGGACAAACTTCAGTAAGCACAAACTGATACTCCTCAGCAGTAAGCAAAATGTCCAAATTCCTCTTCCAGTCAACATAGTTTGGACCCTCAAGTTTATTTTGGGTTAAGATGTTTGCAAGGGGACTGAATGATGCCATTTCTATATCATGCATTAAACAAAATTAGCATATCAATAATAAACATTGAATAAATCAATTGAATAAATCAAAATTGCAAACTATACAAACTGTTGATTATCACAATTTCAAAAAAAAAAAAAAAAAAAAAAAACACATTTCACAACATTCATGAATTTAGCAACCTCGCATGCAGAATTCAACAATCACATGTTTGCATATTATAATTAGATAAGACCGGCACATACTACTCGATGGGAGATAAACATGCCTCTTAAAAATTAACATTTAATGTGTGAGAAAAAATATTACATCTGATTCATGTCGACTTAATTAATTTACTCAGATGGAGAGTTAGAAATTCAATACAGACAAATTAGACTAGCTCAGTGAGGATATTATATTAAAAAACCAGACATCTTCCGATGGGGGAAGAAAGCAAATAATTACAACTTAGAAAAGTTAATAAAAAACCACTCAACAATAATTCATAAATTAATAAATATAATTAAAATAAATTAATTATAATCAAAATAGCAAAATAATATATTTTTAAGACAATTTTGCAAATAAAATTAACATTTTTGGTTGAAAATGTCAAAAATTTAGTGTTCTGGTCTATTTATGCAAAAAAATAAAACATTCTGGGTTTATCTTGCAAAAACAGAAAAATTCTGGGCTATTTTGCAAATTTCAGAACTTGTTTGGACCATTTTGCATAAAACAGAAACTATTGGGCCAAAATTGCAAAAACCGGAAATAGTCTAGGTAATTTTAATAAAACCAGAAACAATCAGGGTCACTTTATAATTTAAATAACTCCAGGGGCCAAAACGGAATAACTGATACTTTCTGGGTCAAAAAAATTAAAGTCTAGGGGTTAAAATATTAAAGTCCAGGGGTTAAAATATAATAAACAGAAGATCCAGGGTCAAAAAATAAAAACTTAAAGATCAGGGGTCAAAATATAAAAAATTTAAAAACTTGAGGGACCAGATGGAAATTTTGGCAAGCAGCAGCTTCTTCTTCACGAAGAAGCCCTAGCCGCCGCTGCCCCTTTTCCCTTCAACCTCCATTTACTGATTCAACCTCCATTTTTTTTTTTTTTTTTTTTTTTTGCCCCTCTACTGATCTTCAAAACAAAAACAAAAAAAAATTTTATTTTTTCGTCTTTTCTTGCCCCTCTCCTGTTCATCGAAACAAAACCCAAAATATTTTTTTTATTTCTTTTTTTTTTTTATATTAATGCCCATTAAAAACCACAGTTTCAAAAACAAGGGTTGTACCAGATACTGCACTTTTGTGCTACTGTCCTTCAAAACCTCTTGAAGCTCTCTTGTAACCATGTACCAATCAAACAATCAAAACAGATTATAGATACACGATTGAAACATGACAAAATAGCCACCATCATACAGTTTTACAAGTTTCGTATGGTCCTGATACCAATTGATGGAGCGGGTATAAGCGGACACAACCCTTAACGAATACCATTACTGAGGCAAACTAAAAAAACATTATCGAACAAATCAATAAACTGGACCTCATTATTGAAAGCGCAGAATACTCACCGGTCTTCTTTCCAGAGATCTTGGAGTCACCCAGATCTTCTGCAGTAATCAATCCCTAACTATCTCTCTGAGTGGCAGAGAATAGAATAACGTGCGTCTCTCTATTCTTAGGGTTTTCAAATCTTATATTAAAAAAAACTCTCTTCGATAGAAAGATATTTTTTTTTAATATAAAATAAATTAAATAAAAAATTATTTAATTAAAATAATTATCAATTATTTTAAAACTGAATAATTTATCTATTATTTAATACACCCTTAACTTTCCAAATAATTAGGGCACTACAGGGACCTCAGGAATAAAATAAATCAGGCTACTAATTATAATAATAACCTATGTAGACCAACATATTCTTATTATAATTAATCATGAATTATTCCACTAACTTCCAACTAAAAAACTCATGGACTGAACTCCTTATTTATTTTTACAATTCCAAACAACATAATAATAATGTTTCCCCGTTAAGATTGATGCTGTCATTTAAATAACTTACTGACAATTTATTTAAATCACAATATAACTTTAAGATTGTCGCTCAACTTATTTCATGTGTATTCAATATCCACCTATAGGATTTACACTATGAAACCTTATAAACTTACTTAAAGTGCATCATCAATCTCTAAACCGAGACATGGATTCTATCATTAATTAATATTTCACAAACACAATATATCTTTGCCCAATTCACCGAGAACATTATTCCAATAATGAAACTCACCCTTTAATGAATCAAAGCACAAGACAATCAATGTTTGCTCATATTAAAATAAATCAAGATTAAGAACGATAAACATTATTTCTAATGTCCTAGAGAATAATATGTTTAACAGTCATTACTAAAAACAGTCCAGTAACTAATCCATTCCTCTACTTGGTCCAATTAAATACATACAAAATGTACTAATCCATTATTGTTTCATATGCTAATTAACCAATTTATTAATGCAAATTTCCAAATTAAATACAACAAATTTCCAATTAAATACAAAGAAATAATTGTCAATAGAAAATCATTCATAGCTATACTATTACATATGCATGGTTAATAGTATATCTCTATCATTGTTACTTCCTTTTAAATCCTTTAGGTTTTGCTTATTTATATTTTTCCCTACATTTGTAATCATAACTTTTCTTTTATGTTAATCAAATCCATAATCCTTCATGTTGTTTTGGCCTTTACTAAACATATTAGATAATTTAACACCAAGTCATTAATTACTTAATCAAAACACTAATTGAGGTGCTTCACGTGCTTGCTTCTAGAGCATGTTTAACCTTCTTTTAATTAGTTTTTATAGTCATTTTCTACTTTAATCAACTCATAATCTTGTGATTAAAATTCTCTTACTAATATATTAAGGCAGTCTTAATCAACTTAATCATCAAAATAGACATAATATTCCATAACAGTCTCATTATTCTCACTTGAGTTAACTCATTTATAAACCATATATATAGATGTACTAAGAGATTTTTAAGGACATGTATATATCCTCTGTATCTAAGACAGAGTACCAACCCTCTCGGGTTCAGAGCTTATTCAGATTCATGCATTTGCATATTCATATTCTTATCAGATGTTTATGTGCATAATCATGTTTAGGCATATCATTGCTTAATATTTATCACAAGCAATTGTAGATGTATATATCTATACATTCATGTTACATGTGCCATGTTCATAAATACATATGTATGTTTATGGTATGATGTTTCAGGTCTAGAATGTTATAAATTTTGTTGTGCAAATGACATGTTGTGAGTAAAGCTTCACCCCACAAGCATGTCAACTAAAGTACAATTCTTTTTCTGCTAATCCATTTTATTGGGGTGTATATGGAGCACTTGTTTTATGAATAATTAGAAAATTCTAATGGAAAATACTCACCAAAGCATGTCAACTAAAGTACAATTCTTTTTCTGCTAATCCATTTTATTGGGGTGTATATGGAGCACTTGTTTTATGAATAATTAGAAAATTCTAATGGAAAATACTCACCACTCCTATCATTTCACAATATTCTAATTTTCTATCCATTTTGATTTTCAACTTCAAATTTATAATTCTTAAACATTTGAAAAGTTTGATCTCTACTTTTCATTAAATAAACATAAGTGTTCCTAGATGCATCATCTATAAAAGTAATAAAGTATCTATTTCCTCCTCTAGTTAACATGCCATTTAATTCACAACTATCTGAATGTATAAGATTTAGCAATTTGCTGTTTCTTTCAACTTTAGGAAATAGTTTCTTAATCATTTTCGCTTGAATACAAGCTACACACAATTTTATTTCATCATGATTATATGAAATTAATCTATTTTTAGGCATAAATTTCAATGATCTAAAAATAACATGTGTAAGCCTATAATGCCATAGTGATAAAGATAATTCAACAATATAAATAGAAGATTCAATTTTATTAATAGATAGTCGAAACATTTCATCACAAGCATAGCCCTTGCTTACAAATAGTCCATTCTTATACACAATTATTTGATCAGATTCTAAGATAGTCTTAAAACCTTTCTTAGAAACTAAACTAGCAAAAATAAGATTTTTTTCTCATTTTTTGATACATGTAAGAAATTAACCAACAACAACTTCTTCCCATAAGTGAAATCCAATTCAACAATTCCTTTTCCCATTACCTTTGCAATATCATGACTACCCATTAGAACTTCTTGTCCATTTTTTTGCATCTTCATAAATCTTGAATAATGATCTATTTTTGCGTATATGGACTGTGACACCATAATCATACCACCAATCAATTGTGCTTTTTGGAGCAGCCACATGAAGTTCATTAACCATTCTAATAGGCAAATAAAAAACTATTGCAATAAGGTCTTGAGTTTGCAACTCAACCAAATTTGCTTTATTGGAATTTTGGGCAAAACTATTGTCTTTCTTTTGTTTCTTTAGAAACCTACACTCGCGTTTGTAGTGCCCTTTCTTACCACAGTTATAACATTTTTTCCAATTCTTTGGATTTTTTTTGAATTAAAACTATTTGAATTTGAAGGACCTGCTATATCATAATATTTTCTCCTGTTCTCATTTTTCTTGTTTCCCTCTACATAGTTAACTATTATTGTAGATTGAAAAACAACACCTTTCACACGAATTCTAGTTTCTTCTCCAATTTTTAGGTGTTTTTAAACCTATTCAAGAGAAAAATCTTCTGTAATATGTAGTATTTTCTTCCTATAACCATTCCAACTAGGAGGAAGTTTTGCAATTATCCCTCCTACTTGCAATGATTCAGGAACAACTATCTCTAAATCTTTCAATTTAGGTACAAGGACTTGAAATTCATGAACCTGATCCATAGCAGATACATTATCAATTATCATAAATTCAAAATATTTCATAACAAGAGATTTTATTAACACCTTATTTTTCTATATTGTATTTAGCCTCCAATGTATTCTATAT